AATGTCTATAAATAAGAGAATGGATATCACTGTGGTATATCATTACAACCGAATAAAGTTTAGAAATAAATAAATAAAAAGAGTAGACTACTGAGTCGTTCAGCAACATGAATGAATCTCAAAAACATAGGTTGAGCAAAAGATAGGAGGTGCAAAAAAAGCACATATTATAAGGTTTCATTCACATAAATTTCAACAAGCAAAACAAATCTACATTGATATATATATATATATATATCATAGCCTGAAAAAAATAAATGGGGTTCAACTGAGCCTACTTAACTTTTCAGAATCCCAATTTCTTCTCTTTAAAATGGGCATCATGATACTTCCCTAAAAGTATTTTTATAGAGATGAAAGAAGAAAGTATACGTAACATTTCAAACAGAGTGCTTTGTGTGTACTTAGTGATCGGTAATCTCAACTTCGTTTCCTTACCCACTGCAGCATATCTTCTAGACAGAGAAAGCCAGCTCACAGAGTTTGTATCTCAACAGTCTTACACTTGTAGGAGTTCAGTGTAGAAAATCAAGCCAAGACAAAGTGTACTAAATGCAAGTGATTTTATTTTCCATAGGAAACCATAAAAGTGAACTGGACACTTCTGTGCAGAGAATTGTACTAGAGCTGCTTTGGGCATATCACACAGAAGGCAATAGATTTACATGCAGTCTTGATGAGGTCACGTTTTCTGAATGGCACAAATGGTAGGGGATAGCGGTTGCTAGCAAATGGTAAAAAAATCTCTTAGAGCTTATATCCTCACCTGAGAAATGTTCAGTGTCTACTGCATATGGGACTCTGTCCTATAAGCTGAACATCTAACACGATGGAGATATATTTTCTCCAACAGCAAAAGAAATGGAGCAATGTGCAGTCCTACAGAATACATTAGAAATTCCAATTTCTACCATGGGCAAAACAATTCTGTGCTTAATCTTGCTGTGCAGATCAATGGCTGTTCTAAGCTGGGTGTTGTAAGAGCTTTGTTCACTCCCTTCCAAAACACCAGCTGCATGGGAAGAAGGGAAAAGAGACAAACTTCGATGGTGATGTTCTTTTCCTCCAAGAATTTCTCCTTCCTCTGAGATTGTTTCCGTAACCTATGAAAGACGCAGCTTGATTCCCTAGGGCTGAACACTGTAAATGATGTGCTGACAACACTTCTGTCTATGCTGTTATAGTTCCAGGAGTTTTTAAATGGAGCATCAACTCCACTGTGAGAACTCGGGCTCTCAGACCTTAACATTGGACTCTAATTCCAAACGTTAAAGTCCCCACCAAACAGCTGCATGTTAGATTAGACCATTTTTAAAAAATAGGTAAGCCTGGCCAGGCGTGGCTCAGCGGCTGAGCGTTGACCTGGTATCCAGGCGATCGGGGTTTGATTCCTGGTCAGGGCACATGCCCAGGTCATGGGCTCGATCAATGACTCTCTCATCATTGATGTTTCTGTCTCTCCCTCTCCCTCTCCTTTCCTCTCTCTGAAATCAATAAAGATATATTTAAAAATAGGTAATTTCCTCCTGGTGAGGAAAATAATAAGAAAGTCACTCTAATGCTCATAATGACCCAATCACCCCCCATACCCACCTCCCCATACTGTGGTGAATGGAAGGATGAAAGATGGAGTAGGAGGAAACAACAGCCCTTCTGAATCAACATTTAGACTCCTCCCGTTTGTTACAATTATTAATTGCATTTCTACTAACCTTAGTAACATGATTAATTTTAGGCCCAGTTGTTTAGAGGAATACAAGAACAACTATTTAGATAATGGCTGTATCAAGGACACAAATGACACATTATCATTTCTCTTTAAAAATATCTAATATTAATACATATGTAAATGAATATGAAATGGCAAAGTAACAAATTTATTTGACCGCTTAACTCCAAGTAGCCATAAACTCAGTAGGAAAAGCCACTTAGTCACTGGACTCAACTAACTAGAATTCAGCCAGTGTACAGACCTCATTGTACTAGGTTAGCCTATTATGACCAATGGTTACAAGGAGCAAACATTAAAGATACTTTTAAATACATACAATTCATTAATTTTTCCAAAATACAAAAATATTCAAAATCTCATTTCTTAAGCCTTAAAAGTATTATGATCTTAAAATCCTTAGGTTATCAAGTGTTCATAATTATAAAAAGTGCTTTAAACCCACTTCCTGCCTCCTCCTTCCC